CCTGAAGTTTTCTAAAGCCTAAAACCCAGGGATTGTGAAATTTGGCAATCGCTTCTAGTAATAATAGCTTTTTGTTACTGCTAGTAAGGCACCTGTTACTACTAGCGTGGCACTTGTTACTAGCTTCATTGTTCTCTTCACGCGGCACCAGGTGAAACCTTGTGAGCCTTGGCATTTTGTGGCAGCTACCTTGGAGGGCGTGCCCTGCTCAGCGGGGGGCCAGGGATAAAGGGTTTTCGTTTGGGCCAGGGGCCAAGAAGACATGTTCCAAGCCCCACCACCAAGGATTTTGTGAGCACAAGTCGTTGATATGGTGTGTTGAGTGGTGTGTTTTTGTTTAGCATGTTTTAGCTCTAGTAGCCTGGAGCTGATTAGGGGAATGGAACAGGAACAATCTACAAGTTTAGTAGACCCGTGCAGACCCTCTACTCTGAGGGTGTACTTGCTTAGGAGCACTGACAAGGTCAGCGCTGTTGGGGTGGGGGGTTGTTTATATTGTCACCTACTTCCTGGTGCTGGGAGTGAGGTTCACTCATGAACCAAAGAATTAGCTATGTATCCTAGAGAACTCCCAATCAGCAGCCATGCAAGCTGTAGAATCCACACTTTTTCCTCAACCTCAGCTCATATGCGATCTTTGAGTCTTTGAGGCAGCGCTAAGAATTGACAAATGACTCGCCAAACCGCAAAAGGATTGAGAGAAAGTCAAGTTAGCAACAGACTTTCCCATGGCCATTGCGACCCAAAGCAAATGGCAAAAAAGAACACTGCATTACTAATTACTAGTCTTGAGTGTCCAAATGTATCATTTTGGAATGCCAGGCCTATTGTATTTGGACCCAGTGATACTGTAGTTCAATTCCAAAAGTCATTGTGCTTAACCAAAAAAGATAGATATACCAAAAAAAAAATCTATATCTTTAAAAAAAAACACAATATACAATAGTTTTTGGGATGCCAGAAACATACATACATATGCCAGAAACATACATACATACAAGCAAAAAAACTATGTAAAACCAAAAAAATGTTTAAGCATACTTGCTTTTTGTGGTGTGCAACATACATTTGGCCACACAGTACATACTACGCTAGATCATCACTATCATGTCCGCCATCTAAAACACTACTGCTCCAAGAGCGCTAGCCTTGGCAGTGCTCCTAAGCAACTGGAGCATGCTTAGAGGCACATCTGCACAAGTCTACAAGTTTAGATGGCCATGGGATATAAAGTTCAAATTGCAACAAACACATAGCTTTTCATTTGGTGAAGATGCTCCGCTTTTTCACTAAAAACCCAACGACCAAGCAAAGTGAGCCTGCGCATGGCAGGATTGTGTACATTGAATCATTTAAGGCCACTCGTGTACGAGAGTCGTTCTTGGAACTACTGAAACGAAGTTCCCTTCGAAACTTCCTGAAATCCTCTGCCAAGATCAGGATTCTATTGGACTTGTACTAGTTTCGAAGTCAGTGTAAAAGACGCAATTATTTTGAGGACGTTTCGATTTCTTTTCGCGCCCACGCAATTCCTGAGGCTTCAGGTCTCTTGTACCCCAGCGCGCAGATCCTGGATGGAAACTCAGGCCTTGGGCTTACCTGGGGCAGATCTCGGGTTCATGGGAAGAAGATCTAAAAAGGCTTTCAGTGCTTCAAGGGCTTTCACCTGAAGAAGTTCAGAGTCCCAAGACTCATTGTCAACGAACACCAAAAGAAGGATTCAAAAGCTCAGGGGTGACGGCCGACAGTTTGGTCTTGGAGATTGAAGAACATCACCTTGCCCATCAAAGAAAGGACACGCAAAAACATATAGTAACAAGGGAGTGCTTCCAAAAGCGATCCCTAATAGCGAACGGAGTTCACAACCGATGATTGACGGAACGAGCGAAGGCATCCAGTGGCACCGAGCGGGTGCTCATGCCACACCATGTCAATCTCTTTCGGCAAGGATCACTCCGCTTCGTTCGCACTGGACATGGAAGTGTGAAGCACTCATGAAGAAGTGTGAAGCACACGAGGCTTGTGAGGCGGTTGTTTCATGTTCCACATTCGTCCTCCCCACAGAGCTACTAGAAACAAGTGCATCGCTTCTAGTAACAAGTGCCTTACTAGTAGTAACAAG